GGAGGCAAGGATTCTGAGGCTCCGTCTAACATACTTTGGACATGTTGTGAGGAGAGACAGGTCCTTGGAGAAGGACATCATGCTTGGGAGGATGGAGGGACAACGCAGGAGAGGAAGGTCCTCTATGAGATGGATTGATTCAGTGACTGGGATTATTGGGATGGGAGTATCAGAGACAGTGCAATTGGCACAGGACAGAACAGAGTTTAAGGCTGTTGTACATAGGGTCGCTATGAGTCGCAAGGGACTGGATGGCACCTAACAACAACAACAAAATTTTTTAAAGGCCAATAAATACTGGTGGCTTCTAAGATTAAGTGTTGGGTGGTAACCAGAATGTCATAGCTGGACCCTACAGGAGAAAGATAAGTGAGTTCCCATTAAGATTTATAGCCTCTCTCCTATAGTCATTATAAGCAGCAACTACATTGATGACAATGAGTTCCATATTTATTCTTCTTTGTTAAAACCACTAATTACCAAGAGGATGTCAATTAGGTAATAAAAAACTCACCAATGCTGGGTGGGCTGCCATAGTTAATTGGTGACTCAGGTGGTCTTCCACAATGCAATGCAGCCAGAGCAGACCCTTTCCACACAACATGCTTGCAGCCTATTGAACATACACATTTTTATGCATATAAAGGACACAAAAACAAAAAGTAAGAGAAGAACGCATAAATTCCCTTGAAAAATTTTCATACTTTTATTTGTGCGTAGCAAGGACTGTCTTCCAGCTCCTAATAAAGTCTGTACTCCAGGAACACTTTGAGGAATTTCTTGTTCAAGAAGAGGTCCAAGTCGATGACATATTTGCAGCAAGTGATCAGGTGCTAAATGCCTGTAGTATTTCACCTAATCCATAAAAAACAAATACAAATGTTTAGCAAAGAGACACAATGTTTATGTTGTATAAATCTTAAGAAGTTTTTAACCTGGTGACTATAAAAAAAAGGACTCTTTAGTCATTTTTCTTAAAAAAATTCAGTTACTGGACCAATTTAGGTTGGAGTCTCAAGACTAAGGATTTGCTTTACTCTTCAAATCTTGAACTCAAACTACTCCTTGAAGTCACCTTTAAACTTTAAATATCAATTTAGTACAAAACTGAAGATTGTCAGTCATTAATATTATGTTGTTTTATAAAGTCAAATGGTCAATAGTTCTTTTAAAACACTGATGAGAATGGTGGAGGTCAGGGAGTTTAGTTAGTGAGTGAAACCACCAGAATAAAATAACAAGACTGTTGACACAATGTGAAGAATGTAACCAAATATTAATCATTTACGTATCTAAACCATGAATATTTTGCTGTGTTTATATTTATCAAAAATATTACATATATCAACTTGGTTGAGCAAGTAAACATTTCGTTTTACTTGAGGAAAATCTTCATTCATTCTGTGTAAGCACTTGGTTTCCAGACTAAATAAATTACCTACCCCTATCATTTAAGCAAAAGGACAGAGAAAAAAGGAATCAAAAGTACCCTAAATGTAACGACTTGTAAGTTAAACAGACTCTACCAATACAAATCTCATGAACAAGATACAGTATTATAAACTAACATAATAGCTCTGAGAGTCTAAGTCAGGAGCTGCACAGCCATTCATTGCAAAGGCACACAGTTCAAATTCTGCTTCCAGGGAGGAAAAATTGGAAATCTCTGCCCATGTGATGTACAGCCTCTGACAATCCAAATGGTGAGCTATTGGCAGGTTTCAATTCAACAGTACATAACATCATTAGAAATTACAATGATGTATCTCAATGAAAAATTAATTTTCAAGTAACTCAAACACATGTAACTATAAAAATAAATGCAATGATCTGTACTGCTGGTGGTATAGAAACATCTGAACAATTAAAGATTTTAAAAAAATGTTAATAACTAAGTTCTTGGTACAAACTCCAAGGACACTAAATATGCTAAACTTTGTAATTATCAAAAATCTTTGAGAGATAACAAAATTCCAAGCACTGATCTAAAAAAGTTTCAATTATAAAATAAATGTTTTTGTTATCAACTCAAAGCTGAAGTTTGTTTTGCAAACAAGTTTAAAACGTTATATGCCAATGTTTAAAACACCCCCATGATACATCTTCAAGGATATGAACATGTACGGCCAAGCACAATCAATAAGAGTGCATCTAAATTCCAAAATCAATCTCCATAAT